TGGCTCAAGTGGTAGAGCACTAGCCTTGAGCTGAAGAGCTGAGGGACGGTGCCCAGGCCCAGAGTTCAGGCCCCACGACCGGACCCCCCCATCAAAAAAAAAAACAAACAAACAGATCATATGAGACTATTAGGGCAACTGTGGCTATTACCCAATTCTCATGAATGAAATAAAAACAGAGGTTTGAAATATTATTACTAAGGGCATAAAAGAGTTTGGGTGTGGTGGCTCATACTTGTACTCTTAGCTACTTGAGAGGCAGAGATTAAGATTACAGTTTGAGGCCAAAGAGTTAACAAAAAGGAGTCAAGGATGGTGCACGTGCCTGTGGTCCCAGCTACCTGGGAAGCATGTAAGAGAGCCACAATCACAGGCAAAACACCAATTCAAGACCCCATCCAGAGCATAACTAAAGCAAACAAAAAGGATGAAGGTCATGACTCAAGTGGCAGCGCACCTGCCCAGCAAAAACAGGATCCCAAGTTCAAATTCCCTTACTATCACAAAAAAAGCAAAAAAGTAAAAAAAAAAAAAGTTATATACATCATTAAAATTTACTTACTTCAATGTAATACTTACTTCATTGTGTCCATATTTTTGTGACTGCAATAGAAGACACTACAGCACATCATATATTTTTTAAATAAATATACATTTAAAATTGGGGCTCTATGCTCAAAAACAAATTCATATAGGGCTGGGAAGGTGGCTCAGTGGTAGAGTGTTTGCCTTGCATGCATGAGGCCCTGGGTTCAATTCCTCAGCACCACATAAGCAGAAAGAGCTAGAAGTGGTGATATGGCTCAAGTGGTAGAGCATTAGTCTTGAACTGAAGAGCTAAAAAACAGCACCCAGGTCCAGAGTTCAGGCCCCATGACTGACAAAAAAAAACTCAATAATAAATGCATGAGAAAAAATGTCGTCTTGGAAGCTGAGCACTGGTGGCTCACACCTCTAATCATAGCTATTCAGGAGGCTGAGATCTGAGTATAATGGTTTGAAGCCAGCTATCTCCAATTAACCACCAGAAAACCTGAAGTGGAGCTGTGGCTCAAAGTAGTAGAGCCTTGAGCCAAGGACACTGCCCAGACTCTGAGTTCAAGCCACACAACCAACAAAAAAAAAAGGCATTTTGGAGTTGATAGCTCAAAGAATAGCTCTCAAACGTTTTTATTACTAGTTTCATGTTTGCTAAACTGCTTTATTCCCAACATGAAACTAGTAAGAGGAAAAGAATATAGAACAGAGGGGAAAGCAACTCATAATGACAGAGTCACAAAGAGTGCATGAACCAGAAATATCAGGAAACTATAGAAATAGTGGCAAAGAATGTTAATTTTATTTATGCGTAAAAAACAAAACTTTGTGCTCCAACTTAAAAAAAAATACATTTCCACATTTGAAAACCAGAAACTGATTTTCAGATCATCAAAAGGATATAGAGATTGCTCTTCATGCACACAAAGGGAATATTTTCGTACAAGTTGCCAATGTTTCCACAGCTATGTGGTTCCCAAGAAGTGATAACCAGGGGATAACAACCCCAAAAAGAGCAGAGATCATCATTAGGCAATGGCTAGGTAAGTCATGCTGGAGTCATCTAAAAATGTCTATAGGAAATAAATTGCTACCTGAGGAAATAAAATGCTACCTGAGGATTCTTGAGCCAAATGACGTAGCTCCCTCTTCTTTTAGCCCTTCTCTCACCACTAGTAAGAGGTGAAGATGAAACTTAAAACCAGGCATGTCAGACTCAAAAGCCCTTATAAAAATAGCAACCTAGAAGATAGGCCTTACATAATAGCTAGAACTTGAAAATGGAGGCTAAGCTGGAAGGGAAGTGAAGGAGTGCTGAGGTAGCTAATTGTGAAATAGATCAGCATGAACCAAGGCATTGGGGTGGAAAACCCTGTTCAGGAACTGCCAACCTGTGGTACAGGTAGTTCAGATGAAGGAGGGGATACAATGTTAGGCTGGCAAAGCTGGGCCAGGCCTTCCAGTAGAAGATGCTGTGAGCTAAGTCAAGACCATAGACTTTACTCTGGAGAAAATGAGTAATACTTACGACTTTAAAGAAGGGAGAAGCCTAAGTACAGGAAGACTTTGGGAAAGTAATCTCACTAATCTTGCAGCAACATAAAAGATGGATCAAAGAAGAGAAAGAAGGCCTCTTGCATATGGCAGATCATTAATATTGAATAGGTAAAGAAAGACTAAGTTCAAGTTGATTGTGTACCAGGTATCAAACCCATTCTAGTGAATCCCATCTCCTATTGTTTAGTTTGATACTTCGAGAAGTAACGCCATTCATTTTAGGAATAACACTGTGGGTACTTCAGGAGAAACAAATTCTGCAGTCAAATGTGGCCCTTTAATGTGAAGTATTTACTCTTGTGGTTAGCATTTTCTTTTTGTATTCAGTGGGAGTAACATCTGAATTGCTACTGCAACTGAAAAAGACAACATAATTAACCAAGTATAAAAGTTAGCAAGGAGAGGTACTCCTCCCCCACTTCTGTAATTATGTGAAAAAGTTATTGGAAAACAAAGAGGTCACAAGGTATGATATCATATTCCTTGTGTTCTCCCCAAGCATCTAAGATATATATATCTATACATACATATATATGTATAGATATATATGTATAGATATACATATATATAGTTACTGCCTTTCTTGGTGGCACCAGACTTTCCTTTGTGCAGGTCCTGGAAGCACCTGCAAAGCATCAACTACTCAGTAAGACATCAAGGCTGAAAATCACTGTGGGGAGTCATAACCTACCTGGTTTTCTTCATGAGAAACCCTCATCTGCTCCTTGAGGACAGACATCCGGGCTGCCTCTTCTTTCCTCAAGACTCTCTCCTTCTTTAGCTCAGGACTCCAGAAAGTCTTGATGCTGTTCATGGAGGATCCCAGCTTGCTGTCCTTGATGTCTAGCTCTTTCCGGAGGAGGTCATTCTCTCTCTGCAGTTCCTTAAGCTGGGCTTGAAGATCTAACATGGTGCTATCTCTTACTTGCCTCAACATAGAAGGGACCTGGTGATGGTGATGATGGGCTGAGCTGCTCAGACCACCATGTTGATCTGCATATGAAAGGACATCTGTGTGGGAAAGTCCAGCTGAGGCAATATTGGGACTACTTCCCATGGCTGTGACTCGACCTCCATAAACAGCTCGATTTGTGGCCCTGCCCAGAGTCATAGTGCCCTTTGGGTAAGTTGTTGAAGCTACTCCTTCATGATCACTCAGGTACATGGGGCCAGATGTAGCATAGGCTGCATTAAGGGATTGGATATTTTCCATAGACAGAGTCTTGCCTGTTCCTCCCCCACCTCCACTACTCGTTCTTCGATGGCCCAGACGAGGAGACCTTGGCAAACGAGGTGATCTGGAAGGGCTCCCCTCCAAATTAGTGATTGTTCTTGCACTTCCATACATTTTTCTTCTTTTTTGAAGTGATGCTGAAGAGAAGAATGCTATTTTAAGCTGGAGTTTAAGCCACTAATTTCACTCTAGGCCAGAACTGTCACTACATTCTTTTTAGGCTGTACCAGGTGATGATTCCAATCAGAGATCTGTAAAATGAGAAAGAAAAAAAGGAGGATAATTATGAACAAACTTCTTTAGGACTCTAACTGCATTATATTTAAGATAGATAAGTGAAGAAATGATAAATGACTATAAATAGCCAGATTGTTATTGCCATCAATAATGTTCATTTAATAAGGAAAGTAACCCCCAAACACTACTTACAACATGTAAACTTTTCAAATGAATTCTCTTGCCCCAAGCCAGGTCAAAAGTTCTCAAAGCAAAAACGAAACTGTTTCATCCTTCAGAAAACAATTTTGTGCTATCAGAATTGGGGAAATTCTAACCATGGAATTTCTCCTTCATAAAGACACTTTAGCAATAACATAATCCAAACTTAAGGGTGTGACTATCATACACATGTGGCTGCTGCTTCCTGGGATTTCAAACATCTAATAAGCATATTGTTACTTTCCCCTATGCTACTTATTCCAGATATCCCTATCCATCCTTCTCTCTAATAGGTTGGGAATTCTTCTTAACACAGCCTTCTGGATGGCTTACCTGCCAGTCACTACCGCTGACACTTGAGTTGGGAGCCTATTGGTCAGTCTTAGAGCTAGAAGAAAAAGAGGTAGTTCAACTGAAGATATCTACATATCTCACCCGATTTGTAATGCTCTATCACCAGGGGAAACAACAACCCTTTCCCCTTTCACATGCATCTCCTAGGCTGGTCATTGAGAATTTCTTTTCTTTTGTTTTGTTTTAATTTGTTTTAATTTGTTTTTGTTTTGGTAGGTGGGGAGGCTGTGTATGTAGGTCATAATGCTCAACTCAGCATAAAGCTGTCCCTTAGATTTTTGTTCTTAAGGGTTTTTGGTTTTTTTTCTGCTCAGGAATAGTACTCTACTACTTCAGCCACAATTCTACTGCTGGTGTTTTACTATTTGTGGACTTGCCTGCCCAGGCTGGCTTCATACTATGATCCTCAGATCTCAGTCTCCTGAGTAGCTAGGATTACAGGTATGAGCAACCAGCACTCAGCCATTTGAGAATTCTCTTCCATGTTAATCTTTTCACAATAACCTCTGCCCACCAATACAGGTGTTAAGAGTTCTTGGTCCCATAACCTCTAAAGAAAAAAAATAGAAGTTTCCTGTCATGGTGACTCACATATAATCAGTACTGATTTTATGTAGCTAGTTGTAATTATCCTTTCAATATGAACACCCAAATAGCCTTAATGAAGTGCACTATGGTCTTTTACTCTTGTTCTTAAAGAGTCTTTAATGTACTTTTTGCCTCAACTTTACAATATGAAAGTATATCCTGAAGACAGGCAAACTGAAGTTCAAATATCCATTCTACATGGACTTGTTGAGTGAGCAAAGATTTATTTAATTTCTACTCTTCAATTGATAAAGTCCAAGTAACACCATCTAACTCATGGTTAGCAATAATATTAAACTAGACACTCAATTTGATTCCTAGCATAGAATACTCAATAGTTCAGATTGTTATTGCCATCATGAGATCAATATATTAAAGACAATATACAGGGCATCTTTTATTTATTTGCCTATCAAATTCATCTCTTCTCCCTACCTCCACAAAAACTTTCTAGTAATACAATCCTCATTTTCTAAAGAAAAAAAAGCATTGCCTCCAAACCTTTACTCACAGTTCATAAAATTTAGGTAAGGCTAATTCCCTCACTCCATCCTGGATGGAGAACAAGATTCAAGTCTGCCCAATATTATTCCATTCCAGACATAGCAGCTAGTTCAGGGATAGGCATGAGACTCATATGGATCTAAAAAGATTGCATATCATAACTTTAGATAGAACAACTGGGAAAGATAAGCCCTTTTTCAGCTAGTTTTATTTACTATCAAGATGAAGTTCTGAGTACACCCATATGGAAAAAGTATGAGATTAACTCAGTTTTCTCTTTAAAAAAATGAAAATCATTTTATATCTAAGATTTTTTCATAAATAATCTAGTCTTTAAAAAAGAGGAATCATGACACATTTCTCTATAACAGCCCCAAATATTAATGAGCTCAATTTTCCAATCAAAAGAAATATAGCAGATTGGATCATAAAAAAGATCCATCCATTGTTTGCATTCTGGTTTGGGTTATTTTTTAATTGATTAAACTTTCACTAATTATGATATATTCTATTTCACATTTATTAAATAAATAAATTATATCAATCTCTGATCTTAGATAAAAGAATTCAGATACAGACATTTGCACAAAATATCAAGAATGTCATAAAAGCCATCAAGCTAACTTATAATAGAAAATAACCCTATTGCAAAAAAAAAAAAAAAGAAAGAAAGAAGTCCCAAGCATAGAGTCTTTCTTTCCTCCACCAAAAAAAAAAAGGATCAACAATCCTAAGAATTTGATTGCACAAATCATGAGAAAGCCAAATGATGGAATAGTAAGAGTTTAACATAAGTATTTGATTATATAGAAAGATGCTCATAACATACTATTAGGAAAGGATAAAAGTAGAAAAAATTGTGATTTACTGTAGATACACACATACACACACACAATTACTAGCTTTGGAGACTGAATGATACACATTAAAATATTATTAGTGATAGGACTCTAAGATGTTTTCATTTTCTCCCTTTGTTTTTTTTGCATGTTCTAAGTTTTTACTAATAAAGATATGTAAGAATGGGATGGTATATAATTTCTAAAATAAATTTGTTATTTTACTATCCTTAGAATCCAGGTATCTGAGTCCTTCCTATATTATTTTATCCTCTTGTTTATGGAAACAGATATTTCTGATTTTGGGGGCTAGGTTTGAGATCCCTCTCACAAATTTTCACATACACATATTTAATCCTCAGTGATTTTCCCAGATCAGCTGGTCATAACCAACAAACAAAAAGTAAATTTGTTCCTTTTTTAATAATATACAGAACACAAACACATAACATATGAAATGCATAGATATATTATCTTGTTTGAGATAATGTTTATTTTTAAATAAATGTGCAAAAACAAACATGTTACTACAAGCCTGTAACCCCAGCACTTGCAAGGCAGAGGTAAACGATCTCTAGTACACCTATATTTATTTTTTTTAAAGTTCAAAGCTAGCCTGGACTACATAGCAAGACCATGTTTCAAAATATTATATAATCTAAGCAACTGGCATTGGGCCACAGTTTGCCTTCCTTGTCTATATTTAGCATTATGATAGTAACATAGAATGTATTTTTTATGTTTTCTAGAATGACCAACATAAATCCTTACTATTCCTGAAGCATTTGATAAAATAGAACCCATAAAATTGAGAAGGCTCTGTTGCAAATTCGCTTTTCAGTTTTTTACTATGTTCACTGACACCTTTGGTTTCTTATTTATTTTATATCAATTATCAAAACAATATTTCTTCAAACTCAGTCTGCTCCAACTAGAATTATCTAGCTTATTGATATCATCATATATACCTTACCCTTAGATTTTTATAAGTCATCTCCTCCACTTAGATTCCCATTTCCTTCCTACTGGAAACAAAATGGCAAATGTTTGTCTCTTTGTGTTTCAAAGGTACACAGCTTTTAGGTTCATTGATATATATTATTATATCCTATTTTCCATCTTAACTATATGGTTATCTTCATTTCTACTTCATTTGTGTTAATTTTATTTTTATTTTTTCTTCCTTTTTTTATTGTGAGAATACCGTACAGAGGAGTTACAATTACATGGGCAAGATAACGAGTACATTTCTTATCAAGCATTGTTGCCTCCTCTTTGTTTCTCCTTCCCAACCTTCCCATACTCCCCCACCTCCCCGCACCCAATCCTCCCTCCCTCTACCAAAGTTGTAAAGTTTGTTTTTTGACATAATGAATTGTACATCTCATTGTTGCAATGGGTCCACCTATATCCCTAGTTAAACTATTTGTTTTTGCCCTTCCCCTCAATAAATTATACCAACATCAAATACAGTGAAAGCAGGGGTTATACCGTGGGGGAGGGACACACAAAGCAACAAAGAAATAATCTTATAAATATGTTAGAAACAATTGCATGAAAGAAAAAAATTTGAATACTTATCTTGGGGTTCATTTCACCTAACATCAACTTATCTGACCATTTCTTTGCTTGACTCAGACATATACTAGTTGTTGCAAATAAGGGAAACCATGGGACCTATGCTTCTTTGGGCCTGGCTTACTTCACTTAATATAATTTTTTCCAAGTCTTTCC